CTTACCCCCTAATTTCACTATTACATGTATATCTTGCTGTGTGATTGGAAGGCATGAAAATTGTTTCCTCTTTATTCAGAATTTTCTGTGTTATGAAGAATGCAAATTAACAGCCTTGAAATGTTGTGTGTATGTGAGTTATTGCAGGATGTAAACAGCACAGTGTGTCAGCTGAATTAGACTGCTGAAAACATATAGATCAATAATTTGGTTTATTTTTAGGTCTTATATTGCCCCTCTCTGTCCTAGATGCTGGTAGTCTTCTTTTAGCCTGAAAATCTGAAGGTCAGTTTGAAGTCATGATCATATAATAGTTCTTTTTATATCAACAGCTTTATTGGCCTTGGGAGGATATTGTTACTTATTTCTTAATCTTTTGGAACTAAATAGAGTCTGGCCAGATTACAAAAGCATTCAGTGAAACTATAAGGTCTGTCACTTCATACATGGTCCCCCTCCTCTCCCTCCACCACCCCCCCTCCCTTCACTGGCAGCTCTATTTTCAGAAGATTTGTGGGTGTTCAGCTTGTCTGCAAATCGGATCACAATATTCTGTGTAGCCTGTCAAGGTATATATTTATGATTTCATCAGTCATATGACCAGTTTGGGTATATATATGTTTCCTAGAGGTGGGTGGATAATGAACCTGTTTTGAAAATTATTATTATAAGAAGTTAAAGATTAAAGAATTTTACCTTCCTGTAAGTCATTTATTTAGACAAATCATGAACAAAAGATGCATATTGGGCCTTTCAACCTCATTCTGTATTCCTTCAGACTGATGAATTACAAGTAGATAAATGATATCTGAACACTAGTGATCAAAAGCAACAAAACAGTTTTTCTTTTACAACACAATAATGTAATTTACACTTCTATTAACTGGGACAGTTATTTGTTAACAGTATTAAGTTATGGGCATTGAGGAATTCTTGCTTTTCTTTAAAAATACAGCACAGATACTGACTATTCTAGTCTTCATAAGTCTGTTTACAACAGAGTTCACAACTTTGTAGCTTTACATCAGTGGAAACTGGATATCTAAGAAGTTTTACAGTAAATCAATATTTAAATGAAAGATAAAATCAGTTCCTGCTGTGTCTTTGCACATTGCAATTTTAAGGCCAGAAGTCCCCTTTATGAATTCATAAAGAATGTTAAGGGACAGATGTCAGACTTTTGCCCTACTGCTTTCTTTAATAAAAGTCTACTTTTGTGCCTCTAGGAATACTTGTCTCTCTCTAACCATCAGTGTCAGGACCCCAACTGAACCTGTCAGTACAAAAAAGTGCAAAAATTGCATTGTCCTCCTGAACAGACTGCAAAAAAGAGATAATGGAAATAAGTAAGTTGAGATCCTTCTAGAAGAGAGTGACACTAACACCTCTGAAAATTATAATGAAAATCATTTTAAAAAACAATTTTTTCTAAAGTGGAATGGAGATGTGAATTTAATTTAGTCACAAATATCTGCACTGGAATATAAAAACACTAATTTATCAATCAGGGCTATTTGGCAGCTACACCTGGACTAATTCTCTGAGTAAAAGTCAATGTTATGCAGAATAAGCGTCCAGAAGATGTTATGCTTCTTTGCATTACACAAAGAGTTATGATCAGTGAAACTCCAGGTGAAAATCCAGGCAAAGCAATCAGGGGATCTACTTATTCAGGACCATCACATGTGCAGCACTTCACCACAAGCTATATCTTAAGCAATACTTATCTCTACATAATGTCCTGAATGCTCCTGTTAAGCAGAAAAACAGTATTGGAAGGTTTCTTGCAGTAGAATGTATAACCTAGATTTTTCTCCCCAAGTATAAACCACTGTCCCACAGCATCTTCTCTTTCTTCTAAAATGATTTTGTAAACTTTATTCTACTTTCTATTTCTAATTCATTCCACTAAAATCTTTCTACTAAAGTATCTTACTCCTCTTTAAATATTTTCTCAAAGTGCATAACTTCCTCTAAACACAGTGGCCAATGACTTTTTAATTTACTTTATTAATTATTCTTTCTCTCCCCTTTAAAGGGGACTATGTGCCATCCCTTCCTTTTTCACTCTCTTCAAGACTACAATTAGATCTCCAGCTTGTGAATATTAAAGAAGTTATACAGCTGTTGTCTTTGGAAAGAACTTGTGGCATCCTGTGATGCAGATACTTGATTTGATATTACTGATACATGAGAGAGAATCCAGGCTGCATGGTCCAACAGGGAAGCTCATTTCCCTGATATTTTTGTGTAGTGCATACCAGAGTCCACTTCTCTATAATGTGAATTGCACAATGCAGAGCCACAGTAGTGGCATTGTCAGATTATAACAGCAGGATCAAATTTCTCAGCAAAACTGAGGAAAGGGAGAAAGATGGAAAATAAGGACTCCAAAGGGAGAGATGGATGGATGGATGGATGGATGGATGTTTGCATGGTACAATATCTGGCTGAGAGAAGGCTTTCACATCATCAAGTCCTGCAATCCCAGAAAATACAGCATGTTATGTATCCCTTCACTACATTTCTCAGACTCTTTCTAGCAACACTTAGAATTCCTGCCCTAACTTCTCCCATTAGATGACTGTTTCAGAATGTTACAACTCTGATTGAGGGTGACCTTTAAACTTACCATGGCTGTTTTATACTCATTTGCTCTTTTACTGATATTGCCTTATACATAAAATAGGTCATATTGCCCTCTGTGTATTTTTGATGCTGTTTGACAGATTTCTTTATCAGTGCCAGCATGAGCATATTTTAACTACCTCATCTAACATTTCCACCATATTCTATTCTCAACATTGTGCTCAAATCTTCCAAGTCCACATTTGCACTGTTCTGCAGAGAGATACATAACGGATCTATGGCCTAGGAAAAGATTTACAAAGAAATTTATAGTCAGACATGAAGAAGAAGCTTCAAAGAGCTGACTCTTACAAAGTATATTGAAATCACTGGGAATAGAAACATAAACAGGACTAAAACTAGTCTTAATCTAGTTAAAACTAAAACCAGTTTTAATCTTCTAAATGTCTATTTCTATTCCAATTCATGAAACTAGTTAACTAGATCCTTGACCATAGCAATACTATAGACCTACATTTATCTATACCTCCTAGGAGTTTCTACCTGCACCTAATTCTAGAATTTAGGATGCAGCAGCAACTAAAAACATTGATAAGTGAATGCAATAACAGAAAAAGCAGCAGCTGCAGGGAACTATTTCTAATTATAATGAATGATACGGCATCAAAGTTTGCTATGTAAATTGTGCTCTGCACAGTGGTTGAGATTGTTCTAGAAAAGGACATAAACCAATGTCAAATTAAATTAGAAGCTTTTTGTGAAGTGCAAAGATTTTATAGAGCATTTCAAATTTAATTTTGAATTTAGAAGGTATCAGTTTTCATGGAAAGATTAACTGATCCATGCCATTACCATTGGACTTTTCATAAAATCTAAATTATTTGAAGAATAAACATAGGTTTAAGAAAAAATTCTGCCCACCTTTCCACCCCCAACAGTATCACTAGCCCATAGACACTCAGCACTCTGGCACTAATTAACCAGTCAGAATAAAGAAATAAAAAACAAAAACAAAGGAAAAAAAAGCCCCAAAACTGTACCTTGCCTCATGCTTATATAACTTTTAAAAATTAGTCTTTTTTATATAACTTGACTTTTTCCATATATCTATTAAAAGATTTCTATATATAACTACTATGGATAATTTGAAACATATCAAAATGGATCCAGAGAGATTATATCTTTCAAAACTGACCACAGAAGAAAGGACAATGGTTGCAGAGTCAAGTTAGCTATTAAAGACAAAATATATGAAAGATAAAAATCCAATTACTTTTTAGGCACTAACTGATCTCAGAATAGAAATGATAGAACTTTTATCTCTATTTCTCTAGGAGGGTGTACAATACATTCCTTTTTATATCTGTCAAAGGGAGTAGGAGCATGGACACTGTCTGGCAGAGCACCAATGTAGAGAAGTTGTAGCCCGGTCAGCACTTGGGGACATGATTTAGTCGTGGACTTGTCAGTGCTGGGTTAATGGTTGGACTTGATGGTCTTAAATTCTGTCATTCTATGATACTAAGCCAAAAGCTACTCTTGACAAGATCTTCCTTATGGAATATCTATCTGCATTCTACTACAAAGCACTTCTCACCACTTTCAGTCTGTCTGGGCACTTAAGGGCCAACCCTCTGCTTACTAACCCTATCCAAGCTATTGAGGATACTGTCATCTCTTGAAAATTTTTTTCAGTATATTCCACATTGCTAGCCTGTCCCAATCACTCTCCATCTAAGACTGTAACACAAATGTAATAATATTGAAATTACTGAAAAGTTCTGTTGACTTCAGAGGGCACTGCATCTGTCTTAGAGTGAAGAAACATGCTATCTTAAATTATTTTCAGTTTTGTTTCAATTACATGGCTTGTTCACAAGTTATGTTGCACATCCAGTCCAAGGATATCTGCTTTTCATTTTGACAGCCTTATGGATGCACAGATGTGGAAAAGATACCAACAGGAAAAAGCATTATGAAAAGCCAGAGAACTTCAACAGAAATTATGAGATGTAATTATGATACACTGCCACAATCAGCTACCATTTCTTATCAGGTTGTGCCTTACACTAATCAGAAATTCGTAATGCTGAGAAAAAAAATGTGAAGAATGAAACTAACATTTATGAATTACAGGAATCACTGAAATTAATGGTCTTATTTGGGACACATGGTGCATACTACATTTCCTTTCCATTAAAAAATACAGAGCTGAAAAGTTTTGGTTTTAGCAGTATTATCTAATGTTGTAGACTACCTCATCAGCAACTGAATTGAAGGTAAATTACATAATATTTTAAAGCCTTCAAATTATCCTGGAGATAGCCAAACCACTCATTAAAAGAGTAAGAATCTATTGAATACACTAAAAAAAACCTGAAAATGAACTAAAATAATGTGTATTACCTTACCTGTGTAACCTTCTCTGTTACATTGTGCGTTCGGTCTTTCACCTTAGGTGCAATAATTGCTTTCTCTGAAGAAGGAGGAGATGAAGATTTTTTTTCACTTTTGATATCTGAAAAGTTCAGTGTGAGTTGAGGAATTTTGTTGATTGTACTGTATTTGTTGAGATTCGAATCCGATGTAGATCCCAACAGACTTGACTTGATATGATTAAAAGGCCCTGAAAAATTGCAACACACATTTAATATCTGGGAAATGAAGAGAAATAAATGATCATTAATGTTTAGATGGGATACGGTAAAAGCATGATTCAAAACTATTTTTCTGTACACTTGTTAATAATAAAAGCTATCTACATTTAAAAAAGAACTCTATTGCTAATAAGATTGAAATCTAATACCGGCTACAAATACGACATTTCCTTTACGTATAACCGTCAATATTTTTTATAAAGTCGATGGATTCCAAACGCATAATGCATCTATCCTTACTTGCTTTCATGTTACTGGGAATGCTGGTGTGCTCTTATTACAGTTCTGGCTGAATATAAAGACTATATGCTCATTTGTTTATAAGAGCTGAAATAGGACACATGATTATATAAGAGTGCCTGCAATTAGCAAAGGCTCTATTATCACATCCCTACCTTGCTCATGCTCACATGACAGTTCAAAGAAACTGGAAAATTGAGCAGACTCTCAAAATATGTTTCTTCAATTGTCGTTGCCAACAAAATATTGGAAGCTATAGGGATACTCATAGGTAGAATATTAACAGAGTATATAGAATCGTCTTATACTACTTTAGTGCATCATGATAAAAGATACAGAATTTGCATACTTTATAAGGTACATATCCTTTATAATTATTCTTTTTATTATTGGACAGTGTTGTTTGAACAAGAAAGCAATATAAATGATCAGAATACTTGTTTTGCACTATCATCATAAGGTTCATTTGGAAGCAAATAATATTCATTGCAAGGAAAAGTTGCTTTTGAGAACAATACTGGAAAAAAGAACCATAAAGATGTTTAGACAGTGAGAGATAAATCCACTTGGGGATTTAAGAAAAAGTTCAGGTCTTGCAGTCAGTAAGAGTGTACATAAATGTGGGATTGAAGGATATTTCTTAGATCTACATGACAACCTTATTTAAGGTTGCCTTAATTCTATTAAGGGCAACAATATGATGCTTTTCTCTTTTTCTTGTTTTTGAGGTTTTCTTTTGTCTTCCTGAGAGGAAAACAAGAATGTGCATGTTGATTCAGGAATGGTCAATGGGATAGTATTTGGCCTATGGGGCAAATTACAAAGTCAACAGTGGAACAGTTTATTTTATTTGCAGTATGAGAATGAACGAAATTCAAAGCAACCAGCTCTCTGGGGATGGCTTCAAATGCTTGTTGAAGAAGCAGACATTTATTTTTTTGGAAGTTTATAAGGATTAAAACATGTTTTCTCTCTCCTAAACTCATGATAATTGTATGTAAATCTGGGCCAGAGATAGAAAATCTCTGTTATTTCATTTCAAATTTTCCCAATGTGCAGAAAGGAATTTAAGATTACAAGGGAGGACATGATGCTCTAGACTAAAAGTTTGGATGCAAAAAAGAATTTGTGCCTGAGTTCTCTAACCATTAAACTGCAGAACAGTCCTTCTTTTTCTCCTAGTATATTTTTTTGTGGAATAGCTTCATTGGAAAAGGGAAGAAAGCACAACCTTTCACCTGCAAGGAACAGTAAAAAAGCCTGCTACTAAGGACACCACCGAGGGATTGTGATACTATACTTAAATGCATTTTGGCCCAGGTGGGACCTGAATCTATCTTTCACATCATCTATATGATTGTGCTAAAAATTAGTGTTCAAAATATATCAGGACTCACAATTTCCTCACGAATCAATGAAGTGACTAATCTGGCTGGTATGTGCTATTGTAGGTGTGGTTAGACTGCAGTTTTTCACCCCTGCTTCCCTGTTAGTTTTACCAATAGTTTCTGAGTATTGAATCAGTTTAGATGAAAGCAGGATATCAAGTTGAAACCATTTTTCAGATTAACAAGATTCTTAATACCTTAGGAATTCAAAGGTAAAGGAAACTTAAATAGCTTTGGCAAATCTGTGATTAGATAGTAGGCAAGATTTTGTTTTATTAGTAACTTTATAGATGCTCGAATCGCATTGAACTTTTGATATCTGGGATTTACATCTTTTATTGCTTCCATTCCAAAGGGGATTACTCTCTCCTTTGCTACCTAATACCCATGCCCTAGAGCATATTAGGCTAAAGTTCATTGCACATGAGAATAAAACCGTGTTTATTTCCCCCTTCTTTTTCTTTAGAAAGTAGTGAAATTGACAATGGTAATTGATTGAAAGACAGTATTAACTTAAGTTGGTGACAGAAATTGAGCTGATACTTGACAGCTAATGGACCATTGCTACACTGTCATAGCAGGAAGCAGAAAAAGACAGCCATAACAAATCACAATCACAATTGATACTAATTGGCACCCTGATTGACAGTTTCAACAGGGGCCGAGAACTGAATAAGCAGGGAGAATGACTTGCTTCTGCCTCGCCTAAAAAGAAGAATCTTCCAGGTTGAGTTTGAGCTCCCCATTTTTATGGTAGGATTTCATTGTCCTTGCTTAGACAATGCATTGAGAAATTATTTCGCTCTCCTGAGCTGCCAATTCATCATCTTTCACCAGCAGTATAAATACATTTATAAAGTTATTGTACAGCACAGAAATGGCATGTTTTTCCCCCAAGATTTTGCCAACATACACATGAAGCAAATGCAATGATTTTGTAGTCCACAAATTGTTTTACAGAATCTAGGTCATGCAGTGCATGCAGTTTAGAGAGATTTTACCAGGTACACACACTTTTTGCATCATGCATGAAGTCACAAACCAGTTTTCCCACAGATACAAATATGGCAATTAAACTGAACACTTCAGTAAGTTATCTTCAGAAATGGAGGAAGTAATTTATGGATTATGTTCAAATTGCATCTAAAACATGTAGCTCAATGCTGGTGAAAAGAAACAGTTTTATAATTGCACTAAATATTATTTAAACACGGAATTGGCAATGAAGTTCATGCATGTACATTTTGATGCTACAGGAAGCTTGAAACCATACCCCCTGCCATCCAGGAGCGTGAAACTAGTTTTAAAGAGACAAAAGAGGAATAAGTGAAGATAATTCCACAAGGGTCCTGATTATCAATAATTTAGTTTTTGAGAGGTTAACTGAAAACTAAGCACCTTGTAACAACAGATCATTTGCTAATGTCCTCATACAATCACATATCCTTTCACAGATAAAACTCCTGGTAGCTTCAACAGAAGTTTTTTGACTGCTTAATGACAACAGCACTGAGTTAAGTAACTATATGTTCTACCTTCCTCTCTTCCTTTTTTTGAATTAACAGATAATTACATCAACAGGCTGTTTAACTATGCCTTCACTTTTTCCAGTGATTCGTGGTTAGTGCTTTGAGACAAGAGTTACAGGAATAATTACATGTTTAACCAATATAATTTATGCAATACACCTAGCCCTAGAGAATGTTGCATTTGAACATTTCATACAGTAGACAAAGTAAACATGCCAAAAAGTGTGGCTGATTGGAACACTGGAAGGTACAGTCTAGATGTATACTTTACCTTTGACATTGCGACCATTGTCTGGTTTTCAGCATAATAAAAGTGAAGAAAAAGAGAAAAAAAGACAACTAAAATCTACATGAGAAAAAGCAGAAAATATGGCTTCAAAGAGTGTGTGGTCTGAATTGAAATATTGTTACACTTCCTTGAGCGTAATGTGAAGACTTTAAGTCTGGCTTTAGCTAACTTGTCTTTACAGAAACATGATAGAATTCTTTCTCCACAAGTCTCCACAAGAATTCTTTCCCACAGCAGTGGGCTGGTGGACAAAAGTTCCAAGAAGTAATTAGTCCCACATAATTAAGAGAAGCTGAGGCAGAAGTGCAGGATGGCTGCATGGCATGTGGGGCAGCACAGGAGACCCAGCACAGCTTCCTGAGCACTGCGAGCACGGAACATCGAGCTGGGCTCTGGACCTGGGCTGTGGAAGGGGGTTTAGTTCCTCCAGCCCAATGCCTTCCTGTGCCAGGCATCTCTAAGAGTACTGGAGATCAGGCTGAGTTGGGCTCAAAAGCCTGCTGCTCTTTCAGAAGGCTGCAGTGATGTTGCTGAGTCCACTTTCTGAAGAAAATAAAATTTTTGAGGAGACCCTGGGAACTTCTACCTGCCTGCAAAATTTGAGTTGCTGGTGTTTCAGATGAGGCTGGCTTTGCTGCATTTTGGGTAGTGAGTGTTCCTGGCCTATTGCTTTTGCTGTCACATAGACGAATTTAGAATGGAATTTGATCCATTACACTGGAATTTAAAATCCTAAGCTGTCATTTTTACTGTAATATCTTTTGGCATATAATGGGCACAGCAACAGTAATTTTAAAGTGTTAGGCAACAAGGCTGCATAAATTAATTTAACACATGAAGTAATTTCTATTCTCAATTGCATTATATTAAAATCTGACTGCAGGTAAATTACTATAGTTAGTATTAAGCTAAGTAATGTTATTCTCTTCTTTCAGAATTTTGCTTTATTGATTCAATTAATACTATTTGAACTGGCAAGGGTAGGAAAAAACTGAATCCTGACTTGCGTTTTCAGATAGAGTAGTAGTTTTTGAATGATTTGTGAAAAATCAAAATAAAAACGGAATGGGAAAATATATTAAAACCTATGTTCCCTTTGAGAGTTTAGCCCTTTGGGACTGTAGTTTATTTTTCCTTATTGTACTTAGGGTTTTGCATTCTCCCTGATCAGAATCTGCAAGCCCGGAGAAGATGATTTAAGCTGAATCTTGATTGCCTAGCTTGCATGGATAATTTTATAGAAATAATAGGGTTTTATGGTTCACTGTTGAATTAGGCAAACTGGACATGATGGATAAATTTAAACATCTTTTCAGCATAAGGTGCCCAATTCAAACATGACTGTAAGCAGATGACATCAAGGATGGTTACTAATTCTAATGCCTTTCTGAGAGCCATCCTCTGTTCTGCTGAGTTTTTCTATAATGACTATGGATGACATAAACTTAGGGCCTGGCTCTCTACTATTTTGTAGTTTATGCAGAATGAACAGAGAGTGTTTATCTATTTACTCTGTAAATGATCACATCATGTGAGAGGCCTGAGGAATTCAACTGGATTATTGACTCTTCATAGTAAAATTTATTTTACTTAGTACTTAACATTTGAAAAAAGTTTTTCCATAAAATGGAGATAGAAATTTTTGCTTCTCCATTCAGCAAGTATTAAATTATGTGGTGATTTATGCACCAGATTCCTACCACTGTAATCAAAGACACTTAGTATTCAAACTGATTTTTACTCATTTTCATAGATGTATAACTGGATGAAGAATAATCATTTGGGAAATACTATAATGAAAGATGATCTGAGAATAGAAATTGAAAACTGGTTATTTTTAAATGTGTTTTGTTTGAAAGATGAGTTTAAATGCGCAGGGAAGTTTAAACAAAGATAAATTATGCAATAAGGTCCAAAGGACTTGCCAAAGTTCAACCTTGGAAATTTTTGCCTCCTGATTTTGAAATCTTGACTTAATGTGACCATGAACTATACAAAATGGTATGGTTAAGGACGGATTTTAATTGAATTTTCAGGTTCAGGTTTGAATTGAAAGAAAAACCTCCTGGTCCAAAAAAATACCAGAAATGAAAAAGAAAGGACTTCTGTATTATATTTATTACAGGAAGAGTGACTGGGAGGAATTATTAGTTTTGCTATTCTACAAGTTAAACTGGGTGTCAGAGGAACATTCAGACTTTATAGTTTAGTAAATGTGTAGAAGCAAAGGGCTCTTGAGGTGAACATTCCAAAAAGTGGAAGAACTTAATGGGATTTTACACTTGTGGTCAGCGAATAAGAGATAAACAAGCCATCATTGAAAATGAAAATTATTTTTCCTGCTAATTTAAGAATCTATACACATTCTTCCATGAAACATTTTTTTTGGATCTTAAAATATTACGATATATTCCTTGTCATCTGGGCTAAATATAAAGGTATGTAATACAAGTCATTAGACCATCAGTAGCTGTGAAAACATTGCATTGTGGCACTTTCAAAGGGACCTCTCAATTCACAGGCCTTTCAAACCTCTGTTTGCTATGCTCTTTCCCAAGTTCCTTAAACTCCCCATCCTCAAGAAGAAATGACAGACTACTCTCCATGGATTTAGGAGAGACAATGAAAAATGAAGAGAGAGGAAATAACTTTGCAACCTTTGCTGGTTGCATGAATATTCTAGCACAAGGAGAAAATCACACTTAAATGAAGTTTACACTAAGCATTTCACCATTTCACTATTTCACAATTCTTTACACGAAGCATGTCAATGGAGTTGCTGAGGATATTTTCTTCAGCATGAGAGAAAAAGCATGTCTCAGTGCTGGATCAGTGAATGTAAAATCTGCACATTGCATATTTAACTTAGTCTCTGAAGTCGGATTTCATACAGTCAAAGAAAATCTAATATATGTAACTATAGGAGAAAATGGTATATGCAATTATAATTTGATCACCTGATTCTCCCCCCTGCCGACATCAATATTTGCTTAAGGAATGCTGGCCCCAATATTTGATGTAACCTTATAGAGAAGATCAACACCATTATTCCATTAATCTCTTTGGAAATGAAAAACAATATTTAGTGTACATAAGCCTGGCATATTTGGGCCCTTAATATTTTCAATGCATCTTTGAGTTGATTATATTTAGATTTGTTTACAAAGTGATGATTATTACTATGAAATAATGAAAACATTCCTTTTTTTAGTACATCAAAGATTAGCAATTGACTTTCTACCGTACCTTCACTTGCATGACGGTCCCTAAAAATGTTCTTGGGATGGACATTAAAGCCTTCTATGTCATGTACTGAAGAGGCTCTCCGTATACTACAAATACTTTCCTTGGATCTGGAATGGGTTAGTGGATTGCTTGTCTGTATCATGTCAGGGTAAAGTCTGTCCCACTGCTGCTTGGGTGATGAGTGGTCAAGAGGTCCAGATATATTAACCAAAGGTGAACATCTACTGTGTTGAATCAGTGCTTTTGTATCATCCACTTCTGAAGGACTACAGCTTTCTTTTGTAGGTGATTTAAAGTGCTTCATTGCCACTGAGTCGTCGCTGTGCTTAGATGAATCGATTATGACTGCATCGGGGTCTTCCTGGGGCAAGGACTGCTTTCTGTATGTTAGAAGTCTCAATCCAGGTAGCCGGAACCCAAAAAGTCTGCCTACATGTAAATACACAGAAACAGAAGAAAATAATACACATTAGTGTCTGCTCATTAAAATCAGCTTTTTTTTCACTTACAATGAATGATAGTGTCTATTCTTAATAAATTAAAATGCTTAGTAATGGAATATGTAAATATACAAATATAATTGAGTCCAAGTTTGTTATAGTTAGGGTGTTAAAAGATTTCATCATTCAGTCAGACCTAAGTTTTTGACCTTAGAATGAGAATAGCAGCATTAATTCTACAGCCTATTTTAAAAGCTATGAGGTTCAGACGGTCCTTTCTAAATTAAAAATCTATGTATCTATAAAAGACTTCCAGAGCATGTCTAACTACTTTGCTCAGTAGTTGTTATTCTGAAATAGATATTTGTGGATTCTATTACTAGTAGAACTCCATATGATTATAAATGTACGGCTGATATATGCATTTATTGGGTACAAATTAAACAGGAGGATACCAGTGCTAATTTCTTGGGATAGAAGAATAAACTGTATATCAGTTTTGCTACAGTCCTCTCCAATTCTTACATCTAATGATTAGATGAAACAATTTTAACGAGTTTAAAATGAAAAGTAAAGGAGCAAAGTGAAAAAAAAGAGCAACACAGGTCTCAAGCCTCAGTCTCACCTATACAATGCAATTATTTTTTACAGTTGCATGGGATGGGCTGAGTTGGCCTTGGTATGTTGAATGGCAGTGAGTGAGTGGAAAATGAACACTTTGTGTAATGGTAAGAAACATCAGTAGCTGAGAGGAAGAGTATAATATGGTGCCTAGAAAGAAACTAGAGGAAGAATTGCAAAATTTACAGAGTACCCTTCTAAGTAAACTTAAATAACAAATATTATAAGGTTTTGTGTAATACAACTCACAAATGGAGGCACAGGGACTTCAGATGTAGAGAAAACATATTAAATAGTTTAGAAAAAGCAATGCCAAAGAATGTTTAAGAAAATATAAGAATTTAAATAATTGAAATGATCAGGCGTCATTGTATAAACAGTCTGACTTATTAAATAACTTCTTGTATCTCATTGCTTTGCTATATAAGTGTATATAAGTCTATCATTCCATACTGACATGTTTTGAAATAGTCTTTCTTTTATGCCTATGGCAGGCAGTAATTGGAGAACAATAGATGACCCAGTTTAATAATTTAATGTTTTTAAATGGATGTTCTATTTATTTAGTATTGAATATAGAATTGCATTGTGAATTCTAAATGAATGAAGGTGGGAGTACCTTGCTCAGGGATACCTGTCTAAGAGCTAAAGCTGCTGTACTAGATGACACCAAAGGTCCATCTAGCACACTGTTGGGTTTTGATCCTTCCTAGTAGTGGATTTGTGAAGAAGGAGATTAAGAGTCACTACACTGTGATATTTCTCTCAGTGAATGTACTCAGTTTATAAATATCTGAATTTCAGAAACTTCCTGAGCTATAAATATTTTTGTTCGAACCACAAACTGAATGTTTGGTGTACATTTCTTCTATGAATTTGTCTCAGTGCTTTCAAAAATGGTTGTAGGTTGATCTGCAAAGCATTCTGTAGGAAAGAATTCCATAATTTTAGCATATGTTTGTGAAAAAGTACTTGCCCTTACTTGCTAAACACTTGTTGCCTTGGGGAGGGTTCTAGTGCCTATAAGAAATACCTAATAATTACTCCCTTTTTATAATCTCAAAATAGTCTCTATATGTTTACAGTTTTTCATGCATCTGCTGAATTGTTCTTTGTATACCTCTTCTGCAAGCTGAAGAATGCATATGTAACTGTATTATGTACATCTGAACATGCTTCTCACTCTTCTCAGTTACTTTTTGTTTCTAATTTAATCCTTTTTGACAATGGCCTGAGTTACTCAGACTTAGGAATTAAAGCAGTGATATAATGGCTTTTTGTTTTGACCTGAATTCACTTCCTTATGATTACCAATATTTCTTTTTGAATTATTTTTCTAACTGTGTTAATTTAAGATATTTTTACAACATCTGAGAAATTTTGTTGTTGATCAGTAATAGGTAATTCAGTCCCTAACATTTTTTCTACAAAAATTTCTTTTACTGTTTTATCAATTGGTGAGTCAGCATCCTTGCATAAGCCTTGTGATCTCAAGTAATCGTCTGAATAATTTTTTGACATATGTAAACATTCTCACCTCATTGTTTGCACCTTTTTTTTTTAATCCAAGTAATTGAAAATCTATTCTAAAATAAATAACCTATTGACTATTGATAATATCCAAGTGTTTAGAAATCTGGTGATTTGTTTCCACTTTTTTCCCTACTTTGAAATATCAATCCATGTAATGATATTACTTTTTGTCCTTGACAATTTTTGAAAAAGTTTGTTGAATTCCAAATATCTAGCATTGAATTTATCACTCTAGGCGTATACACACTAGATAAAACAGAAAGAATTCTCTATTACATAAACCGGAGTCATGGATCTTTAAAACAGCAGTTAAAGGTGCCAATTTTCAGTCTACACAGTGATATTCAGCAGAGCACACCTTGGGAGTGTGCATATTTCTTCTAACTTACTAATTACGCTTGAACATTAAAACTGCTCACTGTTGAAATTAGTGAAGAGAATGTAAAAACAAATATTATTTTTAAATGCATATATAATTGACCTGTAAATCAGCTTATAAATATATTTTGAAAGCTTGTTGCATCCAAAGTGAAACTAGTACTATAATTCTCTTTTTAATCAATTACACTGAAAGCTTATTGCATCCAAAGTGAAACTAGTACTAGAATTCTCTTTTTTATCAATTACACTGAAATTCTTAAAAAACCATTCATAAGGATTTCTGGCATTAGACACTGTTCAAGGCTTTTTGTTGGCATTCTATTTTAGTCATATTCATGGTGCTGCAGATGGTCTTTTCTGCCTCACCACGTTAATATGACCACGTTATACTGCATTACTGATTTAGCTGTCTAACTGCAGTTCAGCTGGAAAGAATACTCAGTGAGAATTTTATTTCTTGCTAAGACTTTTGGGCATGAAATAGAAAACTTAGATGAGCAGCTTTTTGCTTTCTTCTATACACTGTAATAAATAGTCTCAAACCCTATTTCCTGCTTTTTAATTTGAATATTCTTAAAAGAAGGAGTATTGCTATTCTTCAGTGAACAGGTAATGAGCTACATGGTGTGTTGGACATTCACCTCTCTCCTGTAGCTAAAACTATCAGGGGGCCCATTCAGAATTTGTGTAGTTTACTGAGCTGAGCTGAGCAAGGAAGTGTAATAACACAATTTGTCATGAAACAAAATTCATTCAGGCCTCCGGCCTTTGGCCCCAGAATAGACTAAAAGTGCCAGTGGAAGCTTTCCTGGCGTGCTGCTTATGGGCTGAAATCTATTGTTTGGTAATGGACAAGCCCTGCTTTGTGTAAGTATGATGTCAGAGCAGATGGATCTTGGCTTACAATACTCAAACACACTTTTAGATGCAACCAGCTATTTACTGTGAATCCAGAGATAATGTTATATTAAAATCCTTGCATTTTATTAAAGACTAGATTGCCAAATTCTTTGTAATGCTGAGTCAGAGATTTGTAATTGTGTCTTCCTAAGAGCAGTTGAGGAAAGCAGTTGAGTCTGAGTCACAATTCCAGACTTACATTCCACCTCCTCCTTTCAAACCTTGCTTTACTGAATAAGTAATTTGCAAATGAATTAATCTGTTGGTTGCACTTATTCTCTGTGCCATCTCAGCTGTTAAAGTTTCTAAATAGTAAAACTCAGTCCAAAACTATCATTGTAGATGATATAGGACTCTTCTAAACTGTTTGCAGATACAATTGTCTCCAAAGTCTCAAACTCAAATCAACTATTCTTGTGTTCTGGAAGCCTTTTTTCAATTCTGTCTCATATTTTGGGAAATTAAAAGAGAAGACTTAGAATTCATGGAAAGAAAATGTTTATATTAATAGTTTGGGAGAAAATTGCAGAGAAAAATCCTATCATGATAAGAAAAATTAATATCCTTGTTTTTCCATATGTATTTCAATAAGAAATGCTAACATTAATAGAAATTTGCTATACCTAAACACTGAATATAATCATATGGAATTTTGTGTCGGGGAAAAAAAAAAGAATGAAAATTAGTTCGCAAAAAACCTATCAACAGCTACAATCATGGTTGCAAATTCCCTGACCCATCAATATAAAGTGGGGTATTCCTGCAAAAATAAATGAACAAGGATTTCTTTTGTAATCCAATACATTTGCACGGCTAGGGATTCTTGTCTCTGTTCTGTGCAAACATTACATTAAAAGGAAGGGAAATTATATATGGCCTGAATGTGGCCTTTCTTGTGAAAGCATTCCCCAAATTTCTAATGATGAAATGTATATTTACATACAAGTCACAGTGGCTAAGTCAGAGAAACGCCTGCAATGGAGAGAGTTTTACCTTCTCTAAAATTTCTTTAGTGGTCTCTGGGTAATGCTAGATGTTGTGTTATTTCTCAAAGTCTGTTTAGCCCATGTCAGGGGTATTCTTTGCAATCCTATCCCAAGCACTGCAGAAGGGTAGTCCTAAGAGATGTCAGCTGAAAAGTTGTGATGGCTCCTCAAAGAATTGCTTACACAGTTTTTATAGCACCACCAGTAGTATTGTTGTCATGCTGATGCAAAGCAGTTATCTAAACCCCAGAATGTGAAAGCAAAAGGAGCAATATTAGCTGGTCTCAGGCTACCTAGCTGGCAACTAGATTTAGTCTATTTGTCTCAACCTTCTCTAGGTTTAGACTTTCCAAAATCAAATCAAAGGATCTCAAATGCACAAAGAGTTTGCAGGAGGTAGTCTGAGTGAGGTGTAGAAACTGACAGAACTGTTTCCTGGTGCAATGTGCCACTTCTCCTAGGCTGAGAACTGAACCAAAGTGAGCTGCTCAAGTTTCTGTACAACCTGTTGACTTCAGTAGGGTGTTGAAGAAAATCAGGTCATGGATGGTTTTAGAATGGTGA